TCCCGGGTCTCCAGGATTGCGCCCTGGGCCAAAGGCAGGTGCTAAACCGCTGCACCACCCAGGGATCTCCCATTCCTAGTGATTTCTTAACAGAAAATGCATGATCTGTGCACCAAAAGATGTGTGGAAGGATGTTCACGGCAGGCTTGTTCATAAGAGTTTAAAGCTGGAAATAACCAAATGTTCATTTAGAATAGAATGAATCAGTAGTGCTCTATACACATGATAGCACGCTATACGGCAGTGACAATGAGCAAGCCACAACTGCCCATAACATGGATGATTGTCACAAACAATGTCACATGAAAGAAACCAAACAAATGGGTACACACATTTGATTGCATTTAGGTAAAGTTTAAAAATAGGGGGTAAAAAACCCCATCGATATTGCTAGAAGTCAGTTCAGTGGTTACCTTTTGGAGGGTAGTGGCTGAAAGGGCCACGAGGGTGGGTTTGAAGGGAGCTGGGAATATTCTGTGTCTCCACATGGCTGTTGATTGCCTTGGTGTGTTCAGTTTGTGAAAACTCATTGAGCTGTATACTTATGAGGTGTGTGCTTTTTTGTATGTTGGACCTTAATATAAAGTTTACAAAGGAAGAAGAGGGTGGGGAGAGAATCTGGATAGGAGGAGGAAGAAACCATAACATTTGGTCCACTCAAATGTGCTTCCTGAATAAAGCTTTTTTGCCTCCTATTTGAATTCTTTAGGGAACTGATGTCATAACCTTGGTTTGTAGTTCAAGACGATGTCCGCAAAAGCACCCCTCTTCTATTCACTGTACGAACATTCCTGAAGTGGTACTTTGCCAGGTTACTTAGTACCCCTTTTCATGAGGACTCATAGAAGGAACTTCTCTGATATTTCCATACCAGGGAAAATTAGGATTATCTCAAGCAACAGGTGTGTGTGTGTGTGTGTGTGTGTGTGTGTGTGTGTTTAACTTGGGGGACAACATGTCTTTGGAATATCTTAATATCTTGCTTCCCTCTTTGCTTTGGTTGCTAAGAAGCTCAGTGTCAACATTTCAGTTCACCTTTCATGGCTCCATTTTGTGTTTACTGTGCACCAGGGACTGGGCCAATATGATGAACAAGACACACCCCTGCTCTTGGGGCCTCAATTAGAACACACCCTTCAGTGCAGTGGTGGGAAGCACAGGGCTCCGGGATCACATATGGTAGGAACCTAACTGGGCACTTGGGTGGCTCATTTGGTTGAGCATCTGCCTTCTGCCTGGGATCGAGCCCTGCATTACGCTTCCTGCTCAGCAGAGAGCTTGCTTCTCCCACTCCCTCTCCTGCTCCCCCTGCTTGTGCTCTCTCTCTCTGTCAAATAAGTAAATAAATCTTAAAAAGAAAAAAAGGTAGAAGAACCACCTGAACTGGGTGAAAAGGGATGACCAGGCATTAACCAGGGAAGGAGGGTGGAGAGAACAGCCCATGCAAAGTCTGTGAAGTGAGAACAAGTCTAAGGTTCAACAGTAAATTTCTATTTCCTAAGTCTTCCTCTGGTGGGATGCACTCTTCAACTCTTCCTTCCCGTTGCTCTGACTTTCTTAGCTTTTAAACTATATCCTACTTTTCCCAGGCCCTATACGTCTTTTTATAACCATGTACAACACAAAGACATAGAGAACCTGAGTAGAATATCGTGCAGGTGCTGATACTTTGAATGCTCAGTTCAGGTCTCAGAAGCCTGGCCCCCTCCCTTCCTTCTCCCAGCGTGGCATAAGCTGTAGCCCAAGCTGTTAATGATGCTTAATGATGCTAACCTCATCACTCTCTCCAGTCTCCCCCAGCAGCTGAGGCACCCCCCAAGCCCCCAAGTCCGACTTGACAGTTTGTGATGAATTACTGTATCAAATGTCAGCTCAGTTGGAAGGAGTTTTTACAGGGAAGTCACTGATATTCCCAACCCATGCAGAGCTCTCTGATTTTTTGCTTCTGCCGCTCTACCAATGCTACTCCCTGCAAGAGAGGTCAGGCTGCGTGCTCTCTAGAGCCTTCAATGAGACTGGGGGTAAGGGGCTTGTGTGCCATTTCCTCTCCTCCTTACAGTATTTTGCCCAAGAGGGCATACCTGTGGTACAGCCTTTCCACCCACCCTCACCTAACTCTCTGTGATACAACTGTCCCTTCCAGGAGTCCCTGCCTCTTCCTTGCCCATGGGACTCATACAGAGAACCCTTGGTGGGGAGAGTGGACACAATTATAAGGAGAATGAGAAAGGATGGAAAAGAGATAGCCTGCACCCCCAAACTTCATACATGTCCCCATGTGAGCCAGCCAGGGTCAGCTCAGGCTGTCCACATAGGAAAGAGAGGGTGTTCTGTTGGCTTGATCACAAACCCAATTATAGCCACCACTATCCATAAACCAAACCAAGCAACATTATTGTAATAACAATGGCAACATGGGCCCACAGGTGTGGAAAGCTCCGGTTTTGCTCTAAATTGATGAATATAATCCCAGGTTGCCTCAGGACCTTTGCACTTGTCACTTCTACTCTTTTCCCCAGATCTGCACATAGATGGCTATGCCAAATGATTCAGAACTAGACTCAAACATCTCAGTGCATGGAAGCTTTCCTGGACACTTAGACAAAAAATAGCCACCTCCCCTCTGACTGTCACCTCCCTCTGCTTATCTACAGCACTGTACCATCCAAAAATAGTTTGCTTGTTTATTTACTTGTGGTCTGTCTTCCTCAGTTGGCCTGGGGACCTCATGAGGACAGGGATTTTTGCCTTCTCCCTAGCTGTATCTGAGGTGACCAGCTGAATGCCTGGTACATGGAAGATGCTCACACATATTTGCTCAAGGGATGAATAACTGGACTTCCTTTGAACTTCAGTAGGCCCCTGTAAACTACCTAGGACTAAGGATGTGATGAGATGGGCAAAGCACTCACACAGGGTGCAAAATTTTAGGGAGTGCCAAGAAACTCAGAAACCGAGATAAATAACATTCTAATGCAATATTTAAGAACGTCAAAATTAATGCCAAAATCCATGATGAATAAAACATCAAAAATTTAAATGAAGACAGGATCCCACTGTGCCGACTGCCTTACTTGCCTCACCTTAATCCCGGCCCACCAGTCCTGTGTTTATTTGAAATTTTGGTATTTGGCTCATCATGGATTTTTTTTGCATTAATTTACATTTTAAAAGATACTGCACTGAAATATAATTTATCTTGCTGAGTTTTTGGCACCCCTTTAAATTTCATGCCCTATGCACGTGACTTACTTGAGTCCAGGCTCTGAAAAACTAAGCAGAACAGCAAGTTTCCATGAACAGCTCTTCCTTGATCTATCCACGGCTCTTTGACCGTGACCCACATATACATTATATGGATCTGTTTAGGAATCTGGAATTTTCTGTAGTCCCCTTGGGGGCAGGGACCGTCTGGCTCCCATCCTCATCCTCAGTCTGTGAACTCAACACCCCGCTAAGGATAGAGGACGTGAGCAATGGTCATACCCTCACCCCACAACGTAATCTCCAATTACATGTCCCTTTCCACTCCCGAGAGGTGACCACCACTCTGAATTTGGTGCTATTATTTCCATGACATAGCTTCACACTACAACCATAAGGCATATGTCCCCACTCAATATACAGTATTATTCTGCATATTTAAAAAATTAATACATCTGATATCATATTTTAAGTATTCTTTCATAACCTAAATCATTTGTCTTCAGTGCTATGTTTTCAAGGGCAATCCATGTAGATCCATGTACCTTTTGTGGAAGGGTCAGGAAATTTTTTCTATAAAGAGCCAGATAGTAAATATGTTTAGTCTTTGTAGATCAAAGATTCTCTGTCACGACTTCTCAGCTCTGTCATTGTGGCATGAAAGCCACCAGAGACTGCACACAAATGAATGGGTGTGGCTGTGTGCCAATAAAACTTTCTTTACAAAAACAAAAACAAAAACAAAAATGTAGCCAACTGGGTTCAGCCCGTGGACCATAGTTTTCTGCCTCTTTATTCATTTTTACTTTTGGCAACTCAATTTTTCACCTAACAAAATGTGTTCATTCTCTTATTGATAGATTCCCATTTGGGTGTTTACATTTCTTCAGCATGACAAAGCCACTCCTATATACTTCTTCGTGTCTCTTCTTATATAAATGAGAGAGATTCTCTTGCATATACACACAAAATGGAATTGCTGGAGCACGGTGTATGGACAGGATCATCTTGTTCAGAGACAAAGTTGGGTTGTTCAAGAGTGAAGAGATCAATTTACACTCCCACAGCAGCGTATGCATTCCTGCTGCTATACATCCTTGCCAACACATGGCAACTCAGCCTTGGATTTTGCCAATTTGAGGTGAGAAATGGTACCTCTTGTGGTGTTAATTTGCATTTCCTGATTGCTTACTTACATTAAGCATCTTTTCATGAGACTACTGGCCATTTGCATTCCGGGATGTTTGAACTCTTGACACAAGAGTTCCCCTCTTGGGACCTGCCGATTCCTCTTTTTGCCCATTTTTTTCCCTACTGGAGTGCTTTTTCTTTTTCCAATTGATTCAAGAAAGTTCTTGACATGTCCACATTCTCTTTGCCAGTTATATGTATTGCAAAGTTCATGGCCCAGTATGCGGTGTGTCTTCATCTTACGCTTTGATAAACAGAAGTTGATTACTCTAATAGAGTCAAATTTGTCAATTTTTTCCTTGTGATTTGTGCTTTCATGACTTACGTGAGAAATTCTTCCCCTTGGAGTCAGGTGATACGAGTTTGCATCTCAGTGCTACACATGCTAGGTGTGTGACCTTAGGAAGAGACGTAATTTCCCAGAACCTCAATCTCCTCCTTTGCAAAATGGGGACAAGGACTGCATGCCACCCCCACCCCCCACACACACACCCAGGGCTATTTTGAGGAGGCTTGTAAAGCACTTAGCACAGTGCCAGGCACATCATCACCTCCCTGGTCAACCTCGCCCCACCCAGGGACCCCACACAGGAGGGATGCAGTACCTTGCTCTCTAGCAGGTCTGCATTCTGCCGGAGTTCATTCCGGGACTTTTCCGATTTTTCTAGCTTCTGTCTCAGCATCATAAGCTCCTCCTACAAAAACAAACACTTTAACAGAAACCATCCTGGAGCAGAGGCAAAGGTCCCACGCGGGTTAAGAGCAGCTGGGGAATGGAGTAGTGGTCCTGTCAACCCAACTGATGATGCCCAGATACTCAGCTCATTCCCCGTTTCTGAATCTCAACCTCCCAGTCTAGGGGCTGAATGCAAATCCTCAGAATGAGTCCATTGTTTAACCTGGGACTGGGGATGCCTGAGTGAGATGGTGCCCTAGGCCCTTCACCCTCTCTGAGACCGCTCTTCTGTCAATGGCTCAGCGTTATGTTTGCAGTACCACCATCAGGAGCTGCCTCGATGTGCACCCACAGAAGACCGTTGGGGTGAACTATGGAATGTACACAGAAAGGGGTCCCAGGCTGTTGTGGAGAGAGAACCAGGGAGACCTCTGTGAAACGGGACACGGCATGACTCCCAAAATATATTTCTAAGTGTAATGTGCCAGCGGCAGAAGCATATTAACAGTATGCTATCTTTTGTGTATGAGAGAAAGAAAGTCTGCATGCATGGGTGAATTGACTAATTCTGCAAGAATAAACAACAGCAAAGATAAACCAGAAAGCAATCGACATGGGTACTGTAGAAGGCGGGTGCTACCAGGGTAGAAGAGACAGAAAGAGGAGTGTTCTCTAAGAGGCAAAGAGATCAAGGACTCAAGGATCCCACCACCAAGTTTCCCTGGGATGGACAGTAGGTGTCCATGTGCCGCTGGGTGGTAATGGGGTATCTGACTAACACCCACAAGTCTAGAGTGTAGCCAGACATGGGACAGAGGGTGGTCTATGTCTGCATTGATGGAAGCCAAGGGATATCTGGAAAAAGGCAGTAGGGCTGCTGGGCAGAGCATTTCTAGATCAAGAATCTGCAGGGTGGAGACACTGGGTCTGGACGCAAGCACTAACATGGGGGTGCAAAGAAGGAGCGGCCACCCGGCGCCCTGCCTGCCACGTGGACTGACCTCCTTGGCATGGAGCTGCTCGTCCCCAATAGTGGAGCTCAGCAGCGGCCGGAGGGAACCGAGCAGCTGCCACCATGACCAGTCCTTGACCGCCAGGAACACAGCCACATTCTTCTGGATGCACTGTGAGGCCAGTCGGCGAATCTGCAGGGAGAAGAGGTCAGAAACTTGAGGGGAGCCCTTCCCAACCTGGGGAAGGTGAAGGAAAGAGAGCAAGGGGATGGCAAAAGGGACGGAAAAAGTGGGCTCATGGCTAATGGAAGAGATTGGGTAACTTAAAAATTTTAAGAGCTTCTTTTCAATGGTGCCATAATAGCGCTGCATAGTGACAGGTGGTAGCTGTGCCTGTGAGCCGAGCACAACATATAGACTTGAATCACCATGTTGTACGCCTGAAACTAACGTAACACTGGGTGTCGACTCTATTCAGCAAAAGTAAATATGAGAGACTCCTAACTCTGGGAAACGAACAGAGTAGTTCGTTTGGGTAGTGGAAGGAGAGTTGGGTGGGGGGGATGGGGTGACTGGGTGACGGACACGGGGGGGCACTTAACAGGATGAGCACTGGGTGTTATACTATATGTTGGCAAATTGAACTCCAATTAAAAAATACACAAAAAATAAATTAAAAATAAATTAAAAAAAGAAGTAAATAAAAATGTTGTTAAATTTTAAAAAATTGTTTTGAAAGCCTCTTCTCATCAAGTTGGGCTCTGGGCATTGGATGTTATGCCACAATATAATTTTGCATGACCTAAGAAGAAGAGGAAGATGAGTCCAAAATATTATACAACACCACCTTGTATGGGGCTTAGATTCAGAAGCCACCATGAAAGGCAAATCATTGAACATCCCTGCAATTGCCCACAAGACACAATGGCCATAATTATGTCTCGAGGTGATATTTAGGGGCTAGGTATCCCTTTAAGTGAATTTAAACACAAATCCCAGGCTTCTCAAACCTGAGTGTGCATCACAAGCGCCAGAAGAGCTTGTTAAAACACAGATGCTGGGCTCTGCCCCCAGGGGGTCTGATTCAGTAATCAGAATTCAGTAATTCTGAGTGGGGCCCGAGAATGTGCATGGCTAACAGATGCCAGGTTGGCATGAATACTGTTGGCCTGGGGACCACCCTTGGAGGGGACCACCAGCCACATTCACTCATGTCTCAGGTGGGAACCATGTTGCCTACTGAGCCAGAAGATCCATCCCCATCATCACCATCATGAGAGCCAATGCTTGCACAGCTGGTACGGCTCTCCCTGCAGGCCAGGCAGCATGCTGAGCACCTCATAGACTTAGCTCAGTTCACACCGCAGCCCCGGGAATGGAGGCGTTACTGTCATGTCCATTTTACAGATGGGGAAGCTGAGGCAGAGTGGCACGCTCAGGTGCTCAGCACCATACAGCTGCCCGGCTATGGGGTTGGGATTTGCACCCCTGCAGCCTGGGTGCAGGAAGAATCTGACGTCTAAACCTCTATTCTAAATAATTCCAAGGGCATAAGCTACTGGAGAGCAGTGGGCCAGTGGGTTCGCCCACAGTATTTCAATTATTAATGTTCTTGCATTTGCCAAGTAAGTATACTTGAATTTACAGATTCACATAAACCGGAGGCGCATGTAATGAGACTGCATGCTAGTAGTACTTAGTAATGAGGATACTAAGGTAACAGCAACTAGCATTTATCGAGCATGCTAAGTGCACACGACCCCATTTCACCTTGACCCAGCTACTAAGCGATGGAAGTGAGATTCAAGCATAGTTCCTATTTGTCAAAGCTGGGCTGCCTTTTTTTCCATTGCTCAAGCAACAAGGAAGTTCAGTCTCCAAAGGTCTCAGAGGATAGAAGCCCAGGGTGGCTCAAGATTGCAGACTCTGAACTCTGAACTCAGGTCCCCTAAGCCTCGGTGGCCCGGTCCTGTCATGCCCTGCCCACTGACCCTTGAAAGCCAAGTTCTCCAGAGATGGAACAAGTGGAGGCCATAACAAACCAATCAGGGCTTGGACCGCCCCATGATATCCAGATCAAGTCTGACATCGTTGGTAATTTGACGTCAATGTCCTAGAGACAATCACAACATCTTACAAAGTGTCACTTTAAAGTCCTGCCATTTAGGGTAAGCCTGTGGACCAGCAGCACTGGCACCATCGTGGGAGACCTGCAGAGCCCTGTGCTCACCCCAGACCCACTGGATCTGCAAGTGCATGTTAGTAATATCCTTTAGGGTTTCATGCACCAGCACAAGTGTGAGAAGTGTGAGATCGCAGCCCCCAGATCAGCTCGGATGCTGCTTTGCCCGGATCTCACACCTCTGCAGGGATGACGAGGCACGCTAGCCACCATACCTTCAGCTTTTTGAATTCCTGCCGAGACAGAAAGCCCTTACAAGCCGCCTGGAATAAAAGGATCCTGTGAGACGCCAGCTTCTCCCGCTGCCTCTCAAGCCTAGAGACCACGCCTGCCTTGAGGAAAACCTGGAAGGAGAGAAGGTGGCAGGTGACTCCTCTTTCCCTTCTTCTAGCTTCTGGATGCTCAGAGCACGGCCCCATGAGCAGCATTGTCACCACTGAGGAGCCTGTTAGAAATGCAGAATCTGGGATCCCACCCCAGACCTGATGAGCCAGAGCGACATTTTAACATGATCCTCACGGGACCCAGGCACATGTTTGCTTGAACACCACAGCTAGGAGAGACTTGGCCTAAAAGTCTCTGTGCACCAGGACTGCCTGGAGAGTGTGGGAAACACACAATCCCAGGCTTCACCCCAGGAAAGCTGGTGAAATCCCTGGGTTTGGTGTCAGGCCTGGAAATGTGCATTCTTTCTGGGAAGAGCTGCCAACTGTCTGAAAGAAACAGTGCCCTCGAAATACTCGGTCCTACTTTAAAAGGAGGGGCAGAGGATGTTGGGGGGCTCAGGGCAGCCCTCCTAGGCTAAGAGAGGAGGGGGCCAGGCTCGTGCCATCTACAAGAGGTGCTCAGGTAGCTAACAGAAAAACAGCTTGCAGTCCACAGTTTCCAGGCCTCTGCTCATCAATAATGGATGGAGGTCCCTCTGCAGCAGAGTGATCAATGCCTCCTCGGCACCCTGCAGGGCCGCCTTCCATAGACTGCAGGACATGCAGAGGGATTTTCTGAGAACCTGATGCTTTGGGGCTGGACCTGCTCTGGCCAGTGTGCTAAGGTAGCCATAGTCTGTGTCACCCCACTAGAGGCAAAGGAAAGATGTCCTAATGGCCGAGGACTTGAATCAGTGACAGGCGAAGGGGTCACTTTTCAGATGCCCAGCTGCTGCTCATTTCTGTAACCAGCCTGCCGTATTTCTTTGCCAGATGTGGCTTATCACCCCCAAAGATGTTCAATTTCTCCAGGGGCACTGGATTAATCAGTGATAATATGTTAATCAGTGATATTATCAAGCAATGGGGCACATTATCAACCAATGTTGTGGATCAGAACCAACCACTTGATACATGCAGGGAAAGTACTTCACACGCACAATCCTATATGGCGGTTATTGTGATCCCACCACTTTATGGAAGGAGACATTAAAGCTAAAAATGGCATTCCCCCCACAACCCTCCACTAGCAAGTGGCAACAGCAGGCCTATTTCCCTCTGCCTGACTCCAGACTACAGTTACCACTGAATGCAATTAACATTTGCATGGCATCTAGGTTTTTCAAAGCTCTTTCTCCTATGTCCCATTTTAATAAAAAAAAAAAAAAACAACCTTATGAGGAATCTATTAGCCTGGGGAGATTATGTAATTGACTCCAGTTCACATAGCTGGTGAGCTGCAAAGCCAAGTTCACCTCCAGTACCCCATCCTCATTGTCAACATGAAGCTTCATTTCCTCCTTCACTATGATATAAACGTCTGAAGCTTCGGGTTGAATTGCAATTTGATTCCAGGTGGAACAAAGGGTCTCCATCGATTGGCCATTCCCCTAAACCTATTTGCTGTAATGGAGACCACTCTACCTATCCCACAGCGAACCCTCCCCCCACGGGAAAATGAGAATTTGCACGTCCAATCCGCGCGAACTCTGTTTTGCAACCTTCCCTGGCCTTACAGAACACTTCCTATCCACCAGAGCCACCAAGACAATTAGCCTCATTGAAATAAAGACACGATTGACTCATTACCTATCAGATTGCCTCAATAATGACTGTATTAATTTCACAAGCTAGCGAGTCCCAAAAGCCGCTATAAAAAAAAAAATCAATGATCAAAATGATGACAGCTCTAGTTCGTATATTACAAAAGGCGGCGGGTGCTGCCAAAACCACTATTGATTAAGTATGAAGCTTTCATTAAAAAGATAATTGGAAACGACCATACGCAGAACGGGAATAAGTCACCGGCTGTGCAGAATCTTATCTTGATTTTTTTTTCCTTCTAAAGAGCATCTTGCCAGCCAGAAGGCCAACTGCATGTGGGATACCACCTTTTTCATAAATGTCATGGCCCTCAGCACAGGCCTTGATAAGGCACCAGGGACTGAGAATCACAAAGAAACATCTAAATTATTTGCTTTTTGTGGGTCCAATGGCTTATTGGACCCAAGCAGAGTGTTAACATCCCAACAGCCCCACATTTAAGGAATCTATGGGGGCTACTGCTAATGCAAGCTGTTTTCCTCTGAAAATGCTGAAGGCCAAGGTCTAAAAAAATCTGATATGACAAGAGCTCCCATATCTGGGACTGCTAAGGAATTAGGTCCTGTCTTAGTCATTTTCCAGATTAGAGGAGATTCATTCTTTAAACATTACAATGTTAGCCTCTTTGATAAACGTTTCGCCCCCCTGACAATTGCATTCAGCAAGTAAATGACAACCGGCTGATTCCCATAGCCAACTTGTGGGATAAGAAACAGTGGCTCCATTTTACAGAGAGCCCCAGAGAGGCTAAATCACTCATGATTCACGCAGTTGGGGAGTGGCTGAGCTGGGGTAGGGACCAGGTCTGACTGGTTCCTCTGCTTCATGACCTTCCCACCTAGGAAGTGTCCGATCCTGCCACACCTAAGACTTACACCTGCACTGAAGGGTCACAGGCTAGTCTGGTTTCCAAAGGATGCATTACTGTAATTTGCTCTCGACTGTTTCTTAATGGATTTCTCAAGAACAATGATTTTCTTTATTGGGATGTTTTGGCTTCTTCTAGATTTCTTGCCCTCACCATGTGAAAATGTGTGTAAAGACTTCTCCTGTTTTCTTCCATGCTCTACAATAGCCGCGGGGATGATAGAGACTGATTTTTATATTCATGAAAAAACGGAGTAATTATCCAGACCAGTGGTTCTCAAACTTGAACATGTGCTGGAATCCCCTAGAGGGCTTGTCACAACCCACCCTTCTGAATCCAAACCCACAGAGTTTCAGATTCACTACGTCTCAGGTGGGGGCCTCTGAGAGTTGATGTTTCTAGCAAGCTCTCAGGGGATGCTACAGCCACCACTGGCCCAGGGACCCTATTTTGAGAATTGCTGGTCCGCAAGGATGACATTTTTAGAGCAAAGGAACAAGTGCTGTGATTTCAGGCCATAAAGACCCAGATATATTTCCACTAATAAATAGCAGACCCTACAGTATATTGAGAAAACCCTGGGATTCACGGTGATATGGGTTTCCATGGGAGCTTTAACTGTCCTCCCTAGCTACCATAAGGCCTTTAAAAGGTATAGCTCCCTCACCAATAAAGAAGGGATTTACCACACCTGGGCAGCTCAGTGATTGAGTATCTGTCTTTGGTTCAGGTCATGATCCCAAGATCCTGGGATCGAGTCCCAACTCCGGCTCCCCATGGGGAGCCTGCTTCTCCCTCTACCTATGTCCCTACCTCTATGTGTGTGTGTCTCTTATGGATCAATAAATAAAAATTAAAATAAAAATTAAAAGGAAGGAGTTTACTAATTATCTCACAGGAAATTTCAAGGGAAAAGAGGAACAATATGTGAAATGCCCAGCTTGGCACCTGGCCATGGGGGTGGGTGGGGAGGAGGGGGGGGGGGACACCAAGGACCGACAGGTTCATTCCTTGGAAAGGCTTGCAAAAGTCCAATCGCTGCTAACTCCTAGCGGGATAAATCAGGTTGAAACCACAGTAGACTACAGCTTCCACCACACATTTTTGTAGGAGGCCTGTGGGGAGAGGCTTGGGTGTCTTTGGGGCAATGACTATATGAAAGACTATGAGCTCTCCAAGAAAGCAGGTGGGACAGGGTACTCAGGGTTCCATGAATGACCAATGGTCAATGATGCCACCATGGTGGGCTTCTGGAGACCAGGGCCCTTCCCCCAGCACCTTGCATGGCACATGGAAGTGGAAGGTGGTCAACAAAGGTTTACGGGTTGATGCTAGTCAATCAGGAGATGAGTGGAGAAGTGGATGGAGCAATTTTTCCTTTGGTTTATTCTCTCTCCAGTTTCTATTTCTGAACTTTGTCCCCCACCCCCACCTCCCACCTACCACATGATGCTTGAGTTTATAATCTCCATACCCCACTTCCCAAACTAGAACCCATGGAACACTGGTTCTGGGAGATGGTAAGGGTTCTTCCACAAAGACAAAAGGATGGGACTCTCATAGTCAAAGAGTTTGGGAATTTGGGAAGCTCTGAATATATTTTCCTTCTTGAAAACTGAGTGGATATACGGGTATATCAGACTCCGTGAAATTCTTCCCTAAATGTTGAAAAATTATTGGAAAGTCTTTTGGCTTAACATTAGTTTGGGAAAAGCTATTCCTTTCAACATTAAAATCATGTGCCTTCTCATGGAGACCTAACTTTTCACTTTGCTGCTAATCAGCTAGGACTATAGTTGGGTTACTGTTGGTTTCAAAGTAAAAGTTACAAGCTCTGAGTGAAGATGAGCTTTTCTTCTTGCATTTTATGGCAGCTCTTCCTGAGACTTAGAAAGTCACAGTGATGTGCAGGGTGTTAACTCTTCCAGACCACTGAGGTCCCTGGGGGTGTAACTAACCTCTAATAAATGATACTTCCCAATGTTCTTTCTTCCCATACTATACCATGTTATCTTCCTGGCCTTGTAAGATAGGCATGGCAGAAAATCGCCAGCCCTGTCTTCAGTTTCCTGAAAAGGATCCCCACAGAGCTAGCAGACAATGAAGTAGAACAAGAATTGGGCTCATCTAGATCTGTAATGGGATGAATGGAGTGACCTCAGAAAGCAGCTCTACTCACTTGGCTGTGCCCAACGACGACTGCCTTCTTCTCCAGGTCCAGGGTCTGCAGGAGCTCCTCCACAGCCTGGGGAGAAGAAGAAAGTTAAAGAGAGATAAAATGAGACAGACCCCACCATGAGACATCAGGCCGGCTGGCTGGCTGGCTAATTCCTCAGGAAAGACAGGATGAGAGCCCCACCTCGCCCAGACAAGTGTAAAAGATGAGCATGTACTGACACCTATTGTGTGCCATATGTTGGGACCCTCACAGACACCATCTCCTTGCATCTCCATGACAAGGTTGGGTCCTCACACATCATGCCCATTTATAGAGAGAGAAAAAAAAAAACAAACCAGAGATGCAGAAGTAAGTGAAGGATGTGTCTGTTATGGAAAACAGTATGGAGTTCCTTTAAAAATTAAACATAAAAGGATGCCTGAGTGGCTCAGTCGGTTAAGCATCTGCCTTCGGCTCAGGCCATGATCCCAGGGTCCTGGGATTGAGCCCCGCCTCAGGCTCCCTACTACTCAGAGGGGAGTCTGCTTCTCCCTCTCCCCCTGCCCCTCCCTTTGCTCACACTCTCTCACACTTACACTCTTTCTCTCAAACAAGTAAAACATTTTTAAAAAATAGTGATAAATTTTATGTTATGTATATTTCACCACAATTTTTTAAAAAACAACAACGAGAAATGAAGGCATTTCTCCAAAGCTATAAATCACACAGAGCCAGACGACAGAGCCAAATTAGAATTGAAATCTGTCCGGCCACATTGTAACACCTATGATTTAACTATTTCCAGTGCCCAGGATGGCTCCAGAGGACCCTAGGCCACTAGGAACTTCACCTGCTGTGTTGATGAAGTGTGCTGTGACAGCATGGCCGGCATTCTGTCCTTTCCCCATTGTACTTGCCAGAAACGATCTGGCCTTCACAAATATTTCCTGAATAAATGGCGTGGCTGTTAACCATGTGTGCCCGACCCAGAGAATGGAGGGGGAGCCTCTGTTTGCTTCTTCTCTTATTTCCTCCACTCCACCTGGTACTGTTCTAGGCACACAGTAGAAGCACAATAAGTACAAATAAACAAGTGATCTAACAGAGGTGGAAATGGTGTAGGGGTGGTGGAAGGAGAAGGACAGACCCATGCAGGAGACATAAATTCACTCAAAGACATTTCCTGAATGCAGCCTTGGCCAAATCACAGCCGTGCCGTGGGATTTTCCTTTGTCATCAAGGTATGCAGGCTCTGAAATAGCCCTGCTGGAGATATGTACCCTCAGGAAAATACAGGTCACACCTGGTTCCTTTGGGCCTGCAATTCCGCCCCCACTCTACCTCCACACCACCCCTCATGGACCTTCCATTCACTGAAAATCACAGTCTATTTTCAGAATAAATTGTCAGAAAAGTAATTGCCACACTCAAGAAACAAAAGGTATTATGGGCCTGGTGTAATTTACTAGATGAGTTTCAGTTCCATGGGTCATCAGCATTATAGAAAATTTCCTAAGATGTTTTAAAAAAAAAGCTTATTAAAATCTGGTCCAAGACTATCATCTAGGAGCAATTTTCCTCCTCTGACCTCCTCGAAGAACATTCCATAATGCCCCTCCCCAAAATTCAGTGGTTTTACTCATTACATTTTAGCCAAAAATGTTCCCAAGGAGCTGTAGGCAGCAGAATGCATAAAAGCCAATATCTTCAAAACACAACATCTTTTTCTCTGCACAAGAGCAAAACAAAATGAAATTTGACCAAAAATGGATGAAAAATAAATGAAACCTACAGCCAGTGGAATTTTTCTAAGTCAATCATGGTGTTAGCACCCAGAGTAGCGGTGGGGGGAATCAAGATCTGGAGGAGGTAGGTACACCTGGGCTGAGATCCTACCTGGTTTTACCACTCATGAACTGTGTGGCCTTGGACAAGTACTTTACTCTGAGCTCTGGGCTCCTCTTCAGAAATATTATTTTAGAAGAAATAATAGCATCTATTCCAGAAGATTCTGTGGTTGTTCTTGCAGAAGGCTCCATGCCAAACCTGGCATGTAGCAAGTGCTCAATTGACATGAGAAGTTAGTTATGCTAAAGTCCTTGAGTGGGTCCTACCAGTTCTGTCTTGGTCAAAACTTGGCAGAGGTGCTACAGAACATAAACTGAGCCTCCCTTTTGTGGGTACACCCTCAAATACCCGATATCCAGATTCGTCCCCATCTCCTTTCTTAGAGCCCTATAGATGTCCATGTGGCCAAGAAGATCAGGTCTAATGAAGACACATTCTGTCCTGTTCATCTCATTTTATAGGTATGAAAGCTTATTCAAAAGATGGAGCAAATGAGTGGCTGCAGGCATTGAATCATGCTTCTTGTCCTCATTTTCCTCACCTGCAAAATGGTACTAATGTGTCCCGCATAGACCATATGGGTGTTGGGATGATGAACTGAGAATCTACATAAAGGTCTTTGTAAGCAATGTTGCACTTGATTGCTCTTATTGTTATCATAATGAATATTACTCTTAGATTGAACCATATGAAATTGGTACTTGCTTAGGTCAATTACCAGTGATCTGATTTGTTTCTATACAAGGTCAATCACTGTCCAACAGATCGTTGGTGGAAAATAAGGCAAGAATTCAGATTGCTGTAATAAATGTCTTCCTTGTGCCGCATCTTTATGGAATCAGCTATTCCACCCTAATTGTCCAGATACTTGAGGTTTACCCTCCTCACATAGAATGCTGAGTACAATGTTGGCCATTTTACTTCAACGAACCAGTTTGCTCTTGTGCTTTGAACTTAAGCATGACTCTCAGTGCTCTATACATTACTCATTTTCTTTTCTTTTTTTTTACTCGTTTTATTTTCAAACCTCTTCAGATACTATTTGGTGCCAGTTTTATTTATTTATTTTTAAAGATTTTTATCTATTTTCTGAGAAAGAGAGCACAAGCAGAAAGAGGAGCAGAGGAAGAGGAAGAAGCAGACCCCCCGCTATGCAGGGAGCCCAATGCAGGCTCTATCCCAGGACCCTGGGATCATGACCTGAGCCAAAGGCAGATGCTTAACCAACTAAGTCACCCAGGCACACTGTTTGATGCCTGTTTTACAGACAAAGAAAGTGAATTCTAGCATAATGAAATGGCCTGTTAAAAATCATGTGCTAGGAAATCGTGGGTGGAGATACAACCCTACGGAATCAGATTCTTGAACTTTTTCTCTGCCCTCTGATGCTGGGGTCCTGTCCAGCTCCACTACTCACTGGCTGTGTGACCCCGAGCAAGCCATACCTCCTCTCTGTCCTCTGATCCTCCATGTCCTATTCTACTATGTGGGGTAATCATGTCTGTCCTCCAAGGATAGAGTGGAGCTTTAATGAGGTCACAAAGGTAGCACACAGGAGTGAGACTTACAGAAAGGTGATGGAAGGAGCTTGATAAATCCTCTGCCCCTCCAAAAACAGTGGTAAAAACGGATACAATTTTTGAAAGCAACAAGTTCAATACTCTGTAAATTGAACAAGGGGATACAATAAATGGAAAAGCATTTGTTCAAAAGAAGCTATTGAATCTCAGGTAAGAACAGTGAGAGATTGCAGCAATCTTGACCAGGGCTGTTCCAGTCCTGACCAAGCCCTGCACTGCAGTAATCCTACAGGGGAGAAGGAAGCCATAAAAACCAGCAGCTTTGCTGCCAGAAGGGGCTCACACATGGAGTAAAGTATAGGAATATCCCATCCCCAGGATCATTGTCAGAAATAGTAGTCATCTTGGCAGCAAAGCAATGGAGAACGTCAATAGCACACCTAGCCTAAGATTATCTGGAGGGATGCCTGGGTGACTCAGAGGTTGAGCATCTGCCTTTGGCTCAGGTCATGATCCCAGGGTCCTGGGATTGAGTATCGCATCAGACTCCCCTCAGGGAGCCTGTTTCTCCCTCTGCCTATGTCTCCGCCTCTCTGTGTGTGTTTCTCATGAATAAAAAAAATAAAATATTTTTTAAAAGATTGTTATCTTATTGGGGCAAGCAATGAACATTGACAAGCCGGAAATGTGATGAAGGGACATAAGTAATGGACAGGCATGTAGGGGCCTTGTCAAGCCCCCATATATTCCTGACAACCTGGAGCGCTGTGCACATGACTCAGAGTTACATGCAGGCAGAGGCTGACAGAGCCTTTAGCTAACTACACGTCCCTATTTAAACATAAGGCCACGTACAAAGGCAGAAAATCTGGGAAAGGGCCAAAGAGTAAAAGCTGTGGCACAACTGTAAGTGTCTGAACATTGACTACATTTCCCACACATAACTCCATTTGAATCAGGTAACGGCTTGCAGTTTCCCGGTGTTTGATTACAGCCTGTACTGACCGCTAAGCTATGCTGACAAAGGGGCAGCCCCTGAGAATCCAGGATTTGTAATAAAAACAGGAATGAAAAACCCAACCGGAGACATCAATAACCTCATAGTGTGGGGGAGACAGACTCCATAAATGTAGTCCACATACATCACTAAATAATTGGGAAAAGATCAGAATCTGGAGATGCTATTATGTATTATCTAAAATGTCCAGTTTTCAGCCAAAAAAAAACAAAAGAACCCAATATGAGACATACAAAGAAACTGGAAAGTGGTGACCTACACTCTCAAGGAAACAAATAGAAATTCAGTCAGTAGAAATCCTTCGTGGGCTTAAATGTGGGACCTAATACAGACTGCCAAGCAGCTATCATAATGCCCAGAGTGCTTGCTCACTCTCTGGCCTGGTGCACGCTAGATTTCAGTAAATACTAATAACTCTTGGAGGTTCAGAGGTTATCAGGCCCTGTTAGGCACTTTAAAGTGATGACACATTCTTCATCCACCCTTCCAGGCTCAAATTATGAGTCCTTGAATGCACCTGGAAGAAGCCCAGCTCATCCTCTACTTATAGAGCCCCTTTGAGTCCTAGAATTTTGCAGAGAGTTTTCTCTCTGATGTTCAACAAGGATGCACCCAATAAACATGCGATCTGACATCTCACATTAAGCTGAACATGCCAGACAGGCAATAAGAGACTCCAGGAATAATGGAGAGCCATGGTG